ATCCGTATTACATCTGTTTTTTATTTGTTGAACATCAATTAAATTGTTACTCTTAAATTGGTTTGGACGTTTTTTGTATTTTCTGGTTCGGGGAACAGACACAGTCTCTATACTGTGATATCTAGGTGAAAGAGTCTCTATTTGCTGAGAATTAACTGTGACATGAGGTGGCTAGCAGACGGTCGGTTTAGCCAGTCTGTGGCCTAATGGTTAGCGAGTCGGACTCGAAACCCAAAGGTTGCGGGTTCGAGTCTCGTACCTGCAGGGATTGTAGGTGGGGGTGCTTCCTGACCTGGGCCCCAGTTAGTCAAGTACAAAGCATATAGACAGAGGACAACACAAGAGTTACAAATTCTGAAAATAGATGAACATCCAGGAAATGATCAGGATCAAAAGCTGAGAGGAAGAATAGGAGTAAGAATGCATGGTGGAAGGGTACAGAGGCAAAATATAGGAAAAGGCAGAAGAAACCAAGGACATAGGCGCATATCAGATGAAATAAGGGCCACTATTGTGGACCATGTTGTCAGTCATGGCTTACAATGGCTGAGGTGGGTTTCCTGTGTTTGCCTTTCTAATTATGTATTCTCACCTTTGTACCCATATTTATTTTTCCTTTCTATACAATGACAGTGTACTGTGAATCCTATCCAGTCTCTTTCAATCAATACCCCACATACAGTAATGTGTAAATTTGCACTTTTTAAATGGATATATGGCATACAGAAGAAGTGCAGTTTTCTGCATTTCAATACAGTAACTGCCATCCAAACTGTTGCCATAGTTTACATCAGGTAATACTAACAGAGTGCACTGTTATATTGACAACATGACTAAGCATTTTGACTATCTTGTTTGTGAACAATGACACAAGGACTTTATATTCTGATGGCACTGATATGTTCATTGACATAAATACTTACTTTTGAGAGATGAACTAAAGATTTTGAGTAAGTTACAGCCTTTTGCAGGTAATCCATTGTGTGGTGCTGTTTGCACTAATTGTTCTGAGAAACGCACATACTTCTTTGCAAATATTAAGGATGATTCGAGAAATGCACCAAAGTGACTGAGAAAAACTGTAATATATTGTCATAATTTCACACTGAACCTCCAAATTAATGTAGAAACAACCCATATTTTAAATATGTTTAATGGCATCTCTTTACTAAGTAGCCTATTATTAACAAAGACCAGTATTTTTGATACCAATACTGCTACTGATGTCTCGATTAATTGCATTTTTACCTTAATTTTAGCCATTAATTATAGCCATTTAACATTACAGTATAATTGAAAGACATTGTTTTTAACATTTAGTAGGCTCTGAAAAATATAATTTTTAATTTAAGTGAACTTAAAACAATCTTCACATAAACTATAATAAATTGTATTTTATAGTTTTGGCATAATTGTGTGTTTTTGTCGGTTAAAGAGCTAATGGCGTACTGTCTGAAGCAGCTCAGCGAATGCGAACAGCTGAACGCGTAGCATTTCAAACTGTAGTCCATCTGATAATCATCTTCGTTCAGTATCTGCGCTATTTCTCGCCAGACGTTATGACAGATAACACTGTCTTTATAGTCGTTTAAACTAGAGTTGTGGATATCTCATAACCCCCTCACACAAGCGCTTGTCAACACTGCCATCTATTGATGTTGCGGACTCCGGTAAGTTGTTGTTGCGTCTCTTCCTTTTCTTTTTTGGCTATGTGAAAAAACGGCCCGGGCCAGTGTTGCCACCTTGTGGACAAACTAATTAGTGGAAAAACAATTCAAGGCATAGGCCTATGTGCGACCCGCGTGTACTCTTCCCTCGGGCCAGATGAAGATTATTGGCGGGCCGACAATTGAATAGCCCTGCTGTAAATGATGATAACAAAATGTTAACAGCAAGATACTGTTCAGTCTCACGGTATAATACAGTATTTTTTTAGTCAGACGTGTGACGTAGGGATAGGCGATACCATTTTTTTTTTCAATACGATACTGATACTTTTAAATGCCAGTATCATCGATATTGATACCGATACAATACTTCTAAACTAAACTTTTAAATCATGAAATTTATTAAATGATTACAATTTTTTTGAACTGCTAAAACACTAAACCCCAATCTCTGAACCAAATTCTCACTAGCTTAAACCAATTTGCCGAATAAAGCACTCTTTCTGCTAAACCTTAAACATGTTCAGGCAGTTAGGCTGTATTTGCAAATCTCATGCACTCTTTTTGCAAAACTCTAAACACATTCTCTTTCACTTAAACACTTATCACACTGTGATGCATTTGTGCTGCAAAATGCTAAACACAAGCGGCAAAAGTGAAACACAACTAAAGCACAGTTGTCATTGTTTACACACAATGATTCACAATTGTTCACCC